TAAGCTATAGATGTATATGCTTTCGCAATTTGTATATGTGTCTCGAGGTCAAAAATTGATTCGACTCCGGGCTCAAAGTCTATTTTATAATATTTGGTATATACTTAACGAAATTATATGTGTTATTTTAGAAACGATATTACGAAAGAAAAATGCGCAGATTTATATATTTATCGAATACATATTGGAAATCAACAACTCTACGAGTTGTTATATCAAATATTGCGCTTTTATGCTCCAAATAAAATAAAATATATTTTAAGTGTGATTTAATATAAATATGATTTGAAAAATATTTTGACCATTATATAAAATAAAATAAAATAAAATTATATAATAAATATCAAATAAAATTATAAATAGACGCTTGCATTTTCAAAGCGATTAAATTGAATTTTGTTAGATACATAAATTTGCGTTTCTCTGTAAAAATATATTTTGTTTACATTATTTTATATTTTTATATTTTTTGTTTACATTATTTTATATTTTTATATTAAAAATTTAGGATAAATATTAAAAATGTGAAATTGCAAATGTGATTTTACTTTTCCGTGTTTTTGCGACGAAATTTTTGGATGACAGACAAGATTTAAAAAGAAAGAATAGTTTTTTTTATTAAAAAATGCATGTCTTGTTCGACAAAAATTATAATTTGATCTCTTCCATATACTTTAAATTTTTGTATTTTTCTTTGCATCAAGCGACATCGTGCCGCTTCCATTATAGAATTTTACGAGCTATTTAAAGAACGAAAAGACTTTAATCTTGAATATTGATGCAATTAAAAAAAACCACGTGCAAATCACTGGACCTCTCGCAGAGTCTTCAAAGGAGTTCGAAGCAGCAGCAGCAAGCAATATACACTCGCGGCAACTTTCGTTTGATCATGAAAGTTACATTATGACTGCCAATGAAACCCGCATTTTTTCCCCTACCGTTTTTCTTGGCGAGCAACCTGCTCTTTATTTTATGTCGAAGTTTTAGTTATTTTTATCATAGTCACCTTTCACAACCTTTTTGACGATGAGAATTTAGATTGTAGAAAAAACACGGAAAAATGATGTTTCTAGCAAAGTTTGCGTGTCTTTCCACAAGAACGGTCTACTTTGAGTTTTCTTTGGTTGGTTGAGAGAAAAATCATTTTTCATGGATTTAAAATGGATTATGCATTATGAGTTGTAAAAAGATGCTAATTTTCTAGATTTTTTTTTAGAAATTTTATTATAAATTACCCTTAATTAAGAAAAATTTAAAGAGGATAAATTCTTATGTTTTATTGAAAAATATTGGATTTAGAGAAGAATTTTTGGTCCAAAATTTATTCTTTTCTTAATGTCGTAATCAAAATTTAAAAAAGTTTATTTTTCTTATTCAGTTTTATTTTTTTTATTTATGTTAAAGTTTCGTAACTTTCTTAATTACTTTATTGTACTGTATTTTTCAAAGAATCTGTGCTCGAAATTTTTATTAAAATGTTTTATATTTGACTTCAACAGAGTCTCTCGTGGGATAAATATATCATCTTTATTCAAGTTGTCCAGGATTTTAGTCTTTTAATGACTCTTTTTCATTTCTTTATCTTTCTTTCATTTTTTGATTTTTCTCGGTATTATTTCCGACTTTGCTAAATATCTTTACTATACTATACTATCGTAGCACTTAACAATCGTTATATTTCGTGTAAGTATACTAGTGTACGTAATCCATTCGTATGCAGTGAATTCTTAAGCTGAAATTTTATTGTAGTTTTTGTGGTAAAAGGTCGCACCATTTAATATTCCCAGCTAAGGTTCCATTGCGAGAAATAAAACTTAGATATCGCTTCGAAACTTTGTTAAATTCTACACACGATATGATATAACATTGATAACAATTAATAAGCAGAATAGAAAGAAAAAAGATTATTTAATAGCATAATTAGCATATATAATTTAAAAAAGAATTAAAGTAAATTAAAAAGTAATTTAAAAAAGAATTTCTTTTTTTCAAATAAGCTTTTATAAAATGCAAGTTTCTTTTAAATTTTTATTTAAATTATCCAAGTACACCTATCAAATGGAAATACATGCATATAATTAATAAAAAATAATATACAAATAAAAAATAATTTATCCAAGATTGCTTTGTTGTTATTTGAAGCTAGTCGAATATAAAAAATATATAATATAAATCGTTAAGAAAATAATTAGCATTTGATCAGTAATTTATAATCTCTATTTTTTATTTGGATTTCTACGTCGAATGAATAAATTTCGGGTTAATTATTTGTTTTGATACATTTATGAATTGTGGAATTAATTAATTATGTGCACAATCATTGATTGTTGTGATCGCGTTAGGAACGATGGAGTGAATCATGCTGCGCTTCATTTATCGTTAGAATGGCACTTGTGTTAGTTTACACACGGAACATATTATTAATCAAACTTTGTGATGAAGTTAAAAATTCAAGAGCTACTTCCTCCTGTCGGTCGCTCTGAAATATGCAAACGCGAGCTCGTCACGTTCAGAATGCATAGAAATGTTGCGCAATTCCTGTGCCGTCGAGCGAATCTCGACTATGCGTTCTGTCCGTGCCAGTCTCTCGAAACCTCTTCAAACCTCAGAAAACCCATCAGACTTTGGCGGGTTTAACGATTCGCAAGAATCAGTGGAAGCGCGAGTTGACGGATAAAACATGCGCGAATTGCACGCGCATATATTTTCGCGCTGTTGGCGTCTAAATTTTCCATAAACTCGATCGAAGTAGCTGCGGAGAATTTTTTGCTTTTTCGCGTACTCTGGTTTGAGTTCCGGATGGGTTAGCTCAATACGGAGGTCTGCAGAAACGCCGTTTTCTCATGTTTCTTCGACAGGGAAGACGGACAGATAAATGCACAGAAAGATAGATAGGGGATAGGTTTCGCCGGAGATAGAAGATGGGTCTCGCACTCAGAATCTCCGATCGTTCTCGGGATTATACGAAAAAATATAGATAGATACTCTGTAAATCGCTCGTGTAAAAACATCGTCGAGGATGATTTTACTCGTATGATTTATCACGTTATTTGAGTCAGAAAAAGATGAGGGTTTTATCAAGAGCGTTTACTCAGTTTCGGAACGCTATTTCCGAAAATTCCATTATTGCGTTAACTTATGATATTTTATAGATCGTCGAAGTGGGATACTTCAACTTATCCATTATCGAGTCGTACCAGAGGGTAAGAGCGGTAGAGAATTGGAGAAACCGCAACCGCACGATACAGGGTTTCGTCCGCCGCGGTTCGTAGGAACAGCCGTTCTTGCTAAACCTATTGCTTCCGGCAATATCATCGTTAAGCTCAGAACGAAATCGTTCGGTCTTAAAACTTTCTTAACACGCAACTTTACTTTAGACGCTCGCATATATTTCGATTTATTTCATCCTTTCTGTAAATTGATTACATGGATTTTTGAAATCTCTTGTTAAATATTAATTGCGTATATTTTATCTATCAACTATAAGATATTCGTACATTGAATATGATATAATGATGTAATATTAATATTTTATTTTATTCTTTTTTTATTTTAAAAGATTAATTCCTTTTTTAAAGAGGAAATTTTTGAAATACGATAATTAGTATAATATGAAAATATGCATTACTTATTAATTTTTCTTGATAGAACCATCGAGAAGTAGGCAATTAGGATCATTTATTCGATTTTAAGATGAAAGGTTTATGTGCGTTTTTGCTGATTGAAAAGGAGGAGAAACGATAAGAAAGAACTCATTGAAAGAAATCTTCTTCATGCTATTATATATATTTTTCGTCTTATTATTCATTTTAAAGTGAAGAAAATAAGGGTGGTACTCGCCTAGAATCAATTTTCTATCATTATACATTTTTTTAATATTTTATCTTTGATATGGTAACAGGATGAGTGGATATGATTGATATTTTAAGTGATTATATCAATCATTTTATTTTCCATTACATGATCATGTTTTTCTCAAAGCACATATCTCTAAATCAATTTTTCTGTATTAAAATCTCTATGATAAAATTAATTTTCTAGATAAATTTCTATTAGAATAATTACGCTTAAATTATATATGATTTTATAGTGCAATTTTAAAATCTATCTATATATTTTTTAAACAAAACAAATCTGTCTATTCATCATTTTTCGTACGAAATGGATTAAATGTTTTTTAAATAAAACCAATAACGATATCTTTTATATCACACATTGTACATCACATACTTTTTATATCGCATACTTTTTACATAGTAGAAAGATTATGTTATAAAGAGTCAAAGGGATTTTTCCTTTTTATTCAGAGTCGGCGATTTACGTTTAATAAAAGATAAAATAAAATAATAATTTAATAAAAGATAAAAAAATTTAATAGAAAAAGCTATAATATAAGTATGTCTTTATTTGTCTTATTAGATTAATATTAATTTAAATTTAGGAAGTAAAAGTTGATTTGTTAAAATTTTTTTTAAAGTAGTAACGTTATATGTTTAAATTTACGATGACGTTTTATAATTGTACCAATATTGATATAATTATATCATTACATACAATTGAAGGTTTTAATCGTTCGATCAACTCGTATTCAAATCTTTCTGTAATATTTAAAATACATACCGTTTCATGTTTATGCAATTATAAAATTCCTCAATAAATTATTATGCGAAAAAATGGAAAAAAATGGCGCGAATTGCACGTCATAAAATCTCTCTGTCAATGCAATCGTATCGTGGCATGTTTCTAATTGTACATTATGATACATATCGCAACTATTTTATATTATATTCCTATTATTATATTTATATTTTATATATACGTATCGCGATTTTATATTTATTATTTTATATTTATATTTTATGTGTGCGTATCGCGGCTATTTTATATTATTTTCACATTATTTTATTATATTTATTATGTTTAGATTTTGTATTATTATTTTATTATTATATTTATTATATATTATTATACATTATTTATTATATTTATATTATTCGCAGAGAGAGAGGTCTGGTATGAAGCGGCGACGCGGGCGATTGAGGCGCGGATCAGGGCGGCAGCGAGTTCCAGCGTGAGCGGCACGACGCCGCCGGCGGGGGTGGCGCGCGGCATCGTCCTCTTCGTCGGCGACGGCATGGGGATGAGCACCCTGACCGCGGCGAGGATTCTTTCGGGTCAGCGTCGCGGGAATCCGGGCGAGGAGACGCAGCTCGCGTGGGACAACTTTCCGGCGGTGGCGTTGGCGCGGGTGAGTACTGAAAATGAAAAAAAAAAAAAAAAAAAATACAGATTTTTCTTTCCTCTTTCTTTCGCGAAGAAAGAACGAGACGCATAAAACTGGCGTTTCACGTGCATGAAATTCACAGTAAATTTGAATCGGGTCGCAAATTTCTCTGTCAGATTTGCGCACGTAAGATCGACGTTTTACGGATACGCCGAATTGGCGATAAACTCGAAATTGACATGTGTCGTTCGAGTAATGAAAAAACTGGCGTTTTGTAAAATAAGTTAAATTCAGTAAAATCTGAATTTCCCAATATTTCATATTTTATGAACAGCGCTTTAACGTTTTTTGCCCTTTTTCAGGATAAATATTATAGGATTATTTAGTACAATAGTATAATAAAACGACGATTATATCTCGGATATTGATTTTCTTTGACTGATTGAAATCTTTATTTTAAATCAACGTTCCATTTTTATCATCACATTTTCATTTGATTTTTGTTTGTTTGAAAATTTTATTGCGAATAAACGATAACAAATGTATTATTTTTAGATTGAGCAAATATTTGTGATGTTTTATTACATATATACAATCTGCTCTGTAGACTCGAGAGACTTTGAAGAATTATTATTATTTTTCAGAATATACTTTCTTTAATATAATTTTTTAAAGAAATAATTAAGAATAATTATGTAAAGTTATATCAAATTAAAATTTTATTGAAATTCACAAGTCTACATGAAATAAAATAAAGAATAGGAGTTATCTGTTTGCATTGAATAAAATCAAACTTGAATCAATAGTTTTTAATTAAGAAGCTTTTGCTGTCTTGACGTTTTTCTCAACTAGGCTGCTATTGCAGCCCCTTTTATAGTTGAAAGTAATTACGGTGCTTATACGATACTCCATACGCGATATCCGTACGAATTATATCGCTGAAAACTATCATGCAAACGTGTTCTTTTTCCGATCACGACGTGGATAACATCGAGAAATCGCTGATATTCGTTTATAATAAGCGATACGCGAAGGAAAATCCAATGTGCTGAATTCACTTCGTTAAGGTAGGCAGTAGGATATTTGCATGCAAATTTAATCGAAACGCGCGTATACGAATTTCTATGTGGATTACAGATTGCGTATTTGTATTTTAATTAAGTTCACGGTCAAGTATTGGTTTGCGTTCATTTTTTTTGTTTGTAGATATCCTACACATTGCAAATTAAAATATAAATATGTATTGTTAGTTGCTATTTTCAATGCAAAATTTATTAATTCTGTTTCATCAACGATTTCGCTCGAATTCTTTTGCTTGATTTTATTCCTATAGCGTTTATTACGCCTTTTCTGGTTAATTCTCTTTCGAATTTCTCTTTATTTTTCCCGGAAGAAAATCTTTTGTCAAAGACTCTTTGGGATCGGGCAGACCGCCTTTATATTGCTTGGAAATTTACTTATTACTGGCAGTCCTTCGTCTTCGTAACAAAATTGAAGGTTTACAATTTCCTCTGTCAATTTTCATAATTCATAATTAGTTTGATAAAATGAAGATTGCTCGGGAAAGAGAAGTAGAGAGTAAATACTCGGATATTTTCTTTGATCTTGCAAGTGGCAAAGAATCATCATAAGAACAGAATATCGTTATACTTTATGCATTATTTTCTTTATTTATTATTGTGGTATTTTGCCACAAAATAAACAAAACTGAAATTTCAATAGAGATTAAAAAAACATGCATTTAGGATTTTATATAAGTATACTGTAAGTATACTGTATTATCTTTTTTAATTAAATTTTCTAATTATATTAAAATTTTGTTTTTCTATATACAAGGTAATTTACTAACTCTTTTGAAAAAAAGGAAAAAAAGAGATTTTAAAAATATTTTTAAAAACTACTGTATTTTAATTATGCATATAATAAATGAAATGAAACAATTTAATTTAGATTTATTTTAAATTTTTAATAACAAAATAAAGTGCTATTTATGTGCTATTAATGTCAAATAATTAAATAATTAACAAGAAAGATATTATTTTTTTATATACTTGAATAAATTTAGGACTTATTTACATCAAAAATACTTTGTATAAATTTCTTAAAGAGTTTTTATTAAAAATGACGTTTGAAGATATTCAATACATATTTTTAAAATTATATGTCAAGAGTTATTAATGTCAAAAATGCACTATCAAATGAAATCACTATTTTGTAACTTTTAATTATATGTATTTAATTATTTTTTCTTTTCATTTCAAATAAAAAATAGTGAAACAAATAGTGAACATTATTTCAAAGCAAAAATAATGGTAATATTTGTAATAATTATTTTATATAACATATGATTTAATAAAAAAATTTTTTTTGAATTTACGAAAGAGAGATCATCTCTTGTAATTTTTTTGAATATGATTCTAGCTTTAAGAAATTGCACTATGTCCCAATTTTGAAAAATTTGCTACTAAAGTTGCAAAAAAGATATTTTATTATGAGAAAAGATATTTTAAAAGATATTTTAATATATTTTATTATGTTACAACTATAGAATGTGTTGAAGAAGTTTTGTTGTAATCAAAGTTAAATATGTTGTTAAGATTTTCAGCTTTCAAAAGAATTGCCGATTATAATTAATTAGAAATTCATGATTAAATGTAGATTTTATTCTAAAAGTTACGAATAAATTTCTTTTGAGGGCGAAAAGTCTTAGCAACATACTTAATCTTTATTGCAATAAAGTTCAAATATGTCACGTTTTCTAGCTATACCATAACAATTTGCATTAAAATATTTTTGTAATTTTAATTAAAAATTTTTTAAAATTGTGTCATCTTTGGGAACAATTTAAAAATCAGAATTATATTTAGCATAAAAAATACAGAAAATTATAACTTTTTTATATTCTTTCATTAAAAATTCTATTTCATTAAAGACTCTGTAATATTAAAAATATTATTTCTATAAGATAAAGCGTAACAATATAATCTTTGATCAACAAAAGACTATTGTACGCAGCCAAGATGAAGGTACATTTTCAGACTTGAAATTGTACGTACTGGTATAGAAGCGATTTGCTGTCAAAACTCGTTTTGTGTAAGGGGATTCAAAATATCCATCACGGATGATATTGGTGTTTGCGCACGAATTTACGTATGTATGTATACGTACGTGTATGTGTTATCCTTTGCGCGTTCGTTTATTTCACGTGCAACATTCTGTTTTCCACCGCGTTTCAGGTATGGTTCTTTCGTACCTTCCATATCTTCGGATCTCTCTTCCGTTACCTTTCATTTTCTTTCCCGAGAACGCGGGGGACGCGTGTCTCGAAGCTATTGAGAATATAAAGTACAAAACTTTTCAAGTAAAGTCCCTGTAGATTTCGTGTATTCGCTCTGCACTGATTACAGACCTGCTTATTATCCATTTGATATAATCTTACTTTTCATTCTCTCCAGCTAGAACTGAAAGTTGATGCGAGCATTTGAATCCGTAAGATCTTGAGAATAAAAGCTCGCTCGTATAATGACGTTTGGATGTCGCGGAAACTTTTCTCTTATTATTTCAGTCGCCTCTCTTTCGCTTTTTGCGATCAATTTAGAAGAAAGAGAGAGAAAGATAGAATATAAGCATTCAACTTTTGGTTTTCGTGGTCTTCTCAAGCAACTTACATTATTTTGATGGTAATTTAATTTATCGAATTATCTTTTGGAGACCTAAATATTGTTTCTGCGAATTTAAGGAAACAATGCGTGCGGATCATTTCCTTTCTCGTAATTTTTTTTGTCCTTTGTCAAGTGGTATTACAGTTCCTTGTTCCTCTCAACCGTTTCCACCAGCACTCTTCTGCTTATATGACATACATCTGAGAAAGGTTGTTGGTCGGAAACAAAGTTGCCTGAATAGTCCCTTGAGAACTTCCTCAGGGGACTAGACCGGCGTTGATAGGGGACTTGTTTATTTTCGTGTGGACATAAAAGCAGGACAGCGTATGTAGCGGTTTATGAACAAAAACAAAGTGGAAGTACAAGTCGTATTATGTAAATATGGGTTTTAGGAAGCCATATTTAGTTTGTTTGAAGTGAACGAGTTTGTTTACCGTTAAACTACTAGCATGCTTACTTGCATGTAACGTAATATGGGATTTGTTTTATTTTAACGATTAAATTGTAATTTAATAGGAATTAGAAGGCATTAACTTTTATCTTGATAATAAAGAGAGATCGACAAATCCTTAGTTCCTAGTTAGCGAAAAGTTAATGTTCTGTTAATTATGAATGTAATTGTATTTATGAAATTAAGAGAAAGTTTTTATGGATTTTTCAAAATATAATCAATTATATAGAAATCATGATATAATTTAAAACATGTAATCATTTTAAATTAATTATAAAATTTGTTTATTTCTATTTTTTACTCATAACGTCTCTTACTTTATTATCTTTTTTTAAAATATCTTAAAATAGTTTTTGATCTTATATCAAACGCGTAAATTATCGTGCACATACACACAAAACGAATTAAAAGATATATTATTTATAAATATTAATAATATATTTATTATTACTATTATTAATTATTATTTTTGCTTTTCTGAATGTTCATCACATATGTCGTGTGAAATCAATCGTTAACTTTAAACGGACATCAAGTGATTATTATATTATTTATATTATTTATAAATATTAATAATATATTTATTACTATTATTAATTATTATTTTTGCTTTTCTGAATGTTCATCACATATGTCGTGTGAAATCAATTGTTAACTTTAAACGGACATCAAGCGATTATTAAATTACATGACACCTGCACAATTGGATATACACTTCGACGATCGCTCGCTCATCACCACGAATTTATCTTCGAAATATCTAGCATGTGACATTTATCAGGATAATAATTAATTGTGGGTTACGTAGGCGCGGATGACTAATAGTTAAGCTGCCTCGACGTATCGAACTGACATCGATCATTCGCGTATTTGCTACCTTTAAAATCCTCGCAAAACAAATTGTTATCCGG